AAATTTTTATGCTATAAACAAAAGACTTAACTTCAAGCTAATTATGTTATGAATGTTAGTTTAAATTCTATTAATTTTATTTTTTGTTCAATAGCTTTATTATTCAATTTAAAAACGGGATTTTAGTTAAAACTTTAAATTAGTAAAATTAATTACATCAAAATGATTACTAAATTTAAAAATTAATAAAAAAGATATTCTTTTGCATTATTAAGAAATATTTAATATTTTAACAACATAAAATTAAGTTTATTTATTTATTTAATGATATTTTAATTGTAATAAATTAACATAAATATATAAATTAGAAAATCAAAATTGATAATGATTTTTATATAAAAACTTTACTAATTTTTCTCTTTTGATCTGAATTAAAAATTCAGATATGAATAGTACTAGGATACTGAAATTATGACAAAAATAGCTGATCTTATGAGTCTTCTAATGAGAGAATCATTAGAGTTAAATGCCTTTTTTATTTTAAATAGTCTATACTAATGAATATTTAATTTAAATATTTGTAGATAGATAAATTGCTTAAAAAATAAAATTAGATAAAATTTTGAAAATAATTTCAAAAATATTTTACCGAATACCGAATATAATTTTTTTTCAGTTTATCCCTATTAAAAATGCTTAAGTACAAGATAAATTTCATTTATTTCAAACAATAAAACTATTTAGTATTTCTTATTAGCTATAAGTACCTGATTGTTAAACTGATAATAAAAATCCATTCTGCACCTAATTATCATCCTTTTAAAAGAAACATTAATAAATTGATGTAAAATAAGTATAGGATTAACAATAAGATGAATTCACCATTTCAAATTTAAAAGAAATAAAACAGTATTTTAATGAAGATAATATTGAATTTTGTATAAATTCAGAAATATTTCTTTTATGGTAACAAAATTCATTTATACTTCCAATTTTATCAGCACTTTCTAAACTCTACTTATCTATTCTCTCTTCAAATGCAGATTCAGAAAGGGTCTGTTCTGATGGTAGTCTTGTAGTTTCTGAAAAAAAATAAAGGTTAAGCCAAAAGAAAGCTAAAATGCTTGTTACTTTAAAAGGCAATCAAAAATATTTAGAAAATATATAAATAAACATAATTTATTTGAATAATACTAAATTTTATACTGAAAATAGAAAAAATATTAATATATAATATTATAATTGATTTTAATTTAAAAACTAAATATTTTATCTTCCATATTTTCATTTGGTACTTTTAATATATATTTAGAAAATTTCTGAATTATTATCGTATTGAAGAATCTCTACCTAATCCATCTCTAATTATCATATTGTTATATTTTTGTTAATAATTTTACTTAAATTTAAAAAAATAAAGTATTCTAAATTTTACT